CGAAAAGAACAGTTGAGTTAGGACATGACCGAAGGCAGAATTCCAAATAAACGCAAACGATTCTTTTTGTTCAGTGAACCCACTAAACTCAGACCTTTGATAATCCATTGGCTTCCTTCCAATTCTGATATTTTGTCCACCATGCATCGTATTTTTCCTTCACCTCCGAGATGCTAACATCACTACGGCGTTCTTCTAAAGCACGTCGCAAATTTTCCATGTCTTCAAAAACGTATCTAAATTAGTAGAGTTCTTGAATCAAAGACTATGTGAGGAAAATGGTGAGCAGACTTCGACCCTACCTAAGGTCAAAGGTCAACCATAGGTCTACCACAATGCGAATCTCCACTAGACGCAAGAAAGACATTTCGACGAACCATCAATCGCAATGGAAACATACTTGAAGCCGAGAAACTCTAAGACTTCGTCAACTTGCATAGAATTCTACCTGACGAGACTCTGCAACCAGTGCAATAGAGTAAATGGAATAAAAACTAATGACCTGTGAATGAGACATAAATATGTGGACCAGCCGTGGTATAATCCAAACAGGACCGAAGTTATAAAATTTATTACGCAATAACTGTACAAGAAAGATGAAGATGAGGAATACATACAGTTTTTCCAGACAAAGATGCCACATCGGTCCATACAAAAACAAAAGGTGACTATACAAAACCGAAAACACCAAAGCATAAGAAAAATAGGACACCATGAAAGAGTGAATACTTCTATTAACAATGCATTCTAACACCGGCTACTCCTAATGCATGTATGGGGGCAAAATGAAATCTATTCCATACTCTTTCAAAACTGGTTCAAGAACATCGTTTGTCAGACAGTACCTGGTTTCTTTAGTACCTTTCTTCGTTTGTCCAAGCCCTTTCATTCGTGCCTGGAAAAATTCTCTTTTGCACAAGTAGAAAAAACTAACTGAAGCATTTGGTAAGACGCGTCATGAAATTAGGACTCATGCCTCACAAAAATCTCTTACAAAAGCGCATATTGTGGCTCGCGTGACACTGACAGCATTTAGGGGTGCGAGCAGAGGTTGGTGATAATACGGAACAGACCCTATGAGATTGTTTAATCTGGCTGCATCAACAACTTCGATTAATCAAGCTCGCAAACAATTCAAAATTCGTAACCTACAAATTTGGCCAGTACAATGAGAAGAAACAGTGACTTTCTGAGAATCGGAAATGGATTAACTCAGCCAATGGATCAAGTAAACAAAGTTATCTATAGCCGTTTAGCCCGCAGTACTCCCCTTTTCCCCGCCTTGAATACCAGTACAATGAAGCCTATGACAGAAACGGGCGAGAGAGCTTGAAATCTGCGCAATTCAAAAGCAGCGCTCGGATTGTATTCGACTTACCTGTTGCATAGCGTCAAGAATTATGTCGGAGACGTACTTTTGAGTCGCCAACGCTATCAACCTGAAGCCGAAATCTATAATGCCTCCATTACAAAGAAATAACATTTGAGATCACTTACCTTACGATTCGAGGATCAGAACAATCACAACCACAGGATCGCATAAAATGTAGGGTGACCGAGTCAGGGATTGTAGGCACATAGTCTTCCAATTCATTGATGAAATCGCGCATGTTAATGTTCGGTGGGTCCTGAACGAAAAACCATCTCAGATACCATATTACGGTCTTTCTAATTGGGGAAGTCTAGAGTCGCAACTATTATAATGCGCACATGATATCACACAAAATCGAGAGATACAACTCCGAAATCTCAAAATGAAACACGCTTTAGAAGAAAAACAAGAGATCTCATTAAACCTTTCAACAACAGGAGTTGTTTGAGCTGGGAACAGGGTGAAAATCGTGTCGAGGAAATAACCGCCTCTTTACGACCCCCCTCCAAAACATGGACTCTGATACGACCCCTTTTTGTCCTCTGCACATCCGGTTTCATATCAAAAAATGCTAGTTTCAGATGTGCGAGAGGGACGCAGCGCCTGCTGCACGCAAATGCGGCTTGATCCAAATGCTAGATTCAATTCTGCTCAGATTAGGTTCTCCTTCTTTCCTTTAAAGACATTTAACCTTTGCCACATTGGCCGGAAAGTAGAACATTGAAGGAGGTACTGCCCCTACACAGTTGAACAGTCTCGCGCTCCAGTATAGCGGCGCTAACTACCCGCGATCGCGTCGCGCGCTGTGCCTAGAGCGCGCTAGTTGGAAAAATCGTCAAATGTACCCCCTATTTAAAGGACTATAACTTTCTTCATTGATAACCATTTCAGAAAGTGAAGGCAGCTTTTGAATGCACAAGACTTCTAGTTTCTAAATTGTGCTGAGCGTTTTTCTAAGCACGCCTATTCTCGAGAGTGGGAGAACGTCGAGAAATTGTCGAGGAAATTGAAATTTACATGCGAGTTCCCACTCTTTGGAAGGCAGTAGCTGTCTTCATTGGCAATGCTTTGAAAATCGGAGGAAAGCGTTGTAAAGTAGAAGATTTACGCTTTCTGATAGGTGCTCCAGTTGTTTCGATCGCTTTCTAGTTCGCGAGAAATCTGCGTCGAGGAAATGACAAGGAAATTTTCGAACCGAACCAACGAAAACTTCGTAAGATGTTATTTGCATTAGGCTAAGTACAACACTTGTGAAACTAATGATGACAGCAAATAAGTGGCAGCAGCACCGTTGTGTCCGTTGATGAACCTTTTGATTACGACCCCCTCCCAACTCTCATCGGAGCAAATACGACCCCCTGTCGAGGATTTCCTCGACCGTTATTCACCCTGCTGGGAATGGTCTCAACTAGGCGTGGGAGCAAGTTTGCTATAGCAAATAGCTATAAACTAAAGTTAGTGATAATGCGGATTGTTTGATTGTATACTCGATATCCGATAGTTGGGGTAGGTGTGGCACCGGAAGTGACGTGCACTTGATAGAAGTTGCGTGGATAAGCTGTTGCCAGCATACATCGCTGGATATCAGCAAAGCATGCTGGAAACAGCTTATCCACGCAACTTCTATCAAGTGCACGTCACTTCCGGTGCCACACCTACCCCAACTTTCGGATATCGACTGTATGTATTCGATGACGGTTGTAGTTTCTACGTCTGCCTGCTCAAGTAAACAAATTAACAAAGATTACAAAAGGCATTTATTACCTGTGTTATTCCTTGCAGCAGATTTTGTTGCATTGTCGACAAAGGTCGTTGGATATCATCTCTGTAAAGACCGGATCTGAACTCAAAAAATGTAAAAGGCGTTCCTATTGATGGTCGCAGACTGCTCACAGGCGTTTGAGAGGGCAGCCTACACTTGTTTTTGACTTGCTGAGGTTCTGTCGAAATCAAAATAGCCGAAATATTATCCCAGTGAATTTCGTAATCTAGTTTCCTTAACGTCTACGGGTCTGACCAAGGCTGGTGTCAGAGTCCGCGATCCGTCGCAGGCTTCGCTGATTTTCGCGATTTTCGTTATTCACGCGATTCACGCGACGGGTCACGGAAATCACAAGTGCGCCGATCAAATACTACAAGGTGTTCTCCAATCCTGCCGCCAATTCTGCTTGATAGTGATGCTGAATGACAACTGCTCATGATTCCACTTATTTCATATTAAGTGTTTCAAATGTTCAAATGGGACATTTGCGATTTTGGCAGGTTTCACGCAAATCGGGAAAATCGCGTGAATCGCGCAAATCGCGAAAATCAGCGAAAGCTGCGACGGAACGCGGACTCTGACACCAAGCCTACTGATTCACTTGAATATACCTTATTCAATATTGTAAGAAAAATCCGATCCTGGACGAGCAAGTATGGTACCTTGCAAGTATGTGGAGAAGGCGGACTAATAGTCCTTCTAGGATAGATTTCATTTTCCTCGCATGATGACCAGAATGCTAGCTATTTCGGTCAGTTATACAACACATGAAGAAAGAATTACTCGCTGCGAAAAAGTACTGCTCAAAAAGTATGGAATATAAGGTAATAACTTCCCTATAATATTGAAGGCTAGCAAGCGAAACTCTTTTCAACAACTTATTGGAACTAAGGGGAACGTTCGTTCACTAACTCCTCATTCAGATATGGCCAGAAACCCAAATAAAGGCGCCATCATGAAAAGTCGGTGACTGTTTTGTGCATACGTGCACAGAAACTTAAATGACCTCTTCAATAAAAAACTGTGCATATTTCACAGGAATAATACTTGGGCTCCACCAACTCGATGCTATGCTTCATACACACACCCACTATGTCGAAATGTGGGTTAAGCAACGAGTAAATTTGAAAACAACATTAAAATCATCAAAATTTTCCCACACACCTCACAATGGAGACCGACGTTCATTTTGTAGCACAGGACGATTCATTTGTACATTCCTTTGTTTGTTGTTGTTGTTGCTTGCTGCTGCTGCTGCTGTTGAAACTGTTGTTGCTGTTGCTGTTGAATATGGTAGTCATGATAAGATGGGTTGTTTCCAACTCCGTTTTCGCTCATGTAATGCTCATCGGCCATTCTAAACCACAAGTGTATCACATAACAAATTCTTGTCTTCATAGCAATCAGAATGGGCTTCTTATACAGTGGAAGAACACGGTACCGAGGCACAAAACAAACAAACAACCAAACGGCAATTGACAATATGTGAAGCTATGATTTAACACACATTGCTTCTATCAACCAAAACACTAATTTTGCCACGGATCTAAAGCTATTCTGCACTTTTCAAATCCTTTAACTAATTACTTATTACACTACCTCGTTCCTATTTAAGAAAAACTCGCTAATAGAAAAAGAGAACAGAGTTGGTCGCTCACATTACACAACGCCTGCGAACCAAAAAGTATGACGTGCCAGTGGTTTGGTGTGTAATTACAGACCATATTTGCGAGACAACGCGTCGACGCAGAATTTCCAGAATATTCGACGGCGACGGATATGGCCAGTCATGTACAGCTGGCGTGCTTCACTTAGTTTGTGGCTTAAATTTCATGTTTTCTTATCAAATCTATTGGTTGAGTCATTTTGTAAGGTATAGACATGGTGAAAGTCATTGTTCTTCAATGGTGGAAAAGGAGTTTCCCGTTCCCGTCGGTTTTGGTCCAACTGCTCGTTGGGTTTGTGAGACGGATTAATATGACTTTGTCCCTCGATTCTCTACGTCCACGATGAAGTCGTTGACTTTTTGGATAGGATAGCATATAGTGAGAGCCTGAGAGCTCAAAACCGAGACAAAGCGGCGTTTTGTTGGGAAGGTTTTCAGGGTTCCAGTGGGGGGTGGGACTGCTCACACTGCGGTAGCTCTGCCACAGCACAAGCCATATCTCTAATGGTGTTAGTGCTAGTTGCAATTTGGCGTTGAAGAAAGTGTACGCATGTGCTCGCTTGGGGAAATCTCGGTCGTCTACCCCCAATGCTGGAGCTTCTCGTGAATGTCATTTTATTTCGAAGAATTTCACGAAAAGTTGAAGTTCTAGGAGAAAGTGACCTTCAAAGTTATCCAGCCTATTTATTCATGATACGACATCTAGTGCGATGAAGCAGAGAAGTTCCACTTCAGTAGTTCAATTCATCAATTCAAAGTGCTCCTCACAGAACCCACCAATTAGGGTCAGGTCATGCTTTCAGTTCGGTTCGGCTTCAGTTTGAGTGTTTGGATTGATACGCATCGATCGCTTGAGTCTTGCCGACGCGCGAATCGCACGACCGTCGCCGCACGCGAAGACTGCCACGCGTGTTGACCTGCTCCGCGTGCGCGGTTGTTATTAGGTCACTTGGGTTGTTGTCATCATTGTTACACTGCTTAACACTTGCTTACTTTACACTGCCTCACTCATCGTTTTTGGTTCACTCCTGATTTGTTCGCTGGCTCCTCATTTTGTAACGCTAGTTAATTTGTATCTGTTGCGACCTTTTTATTGCGCTTCTCTTTGTTGATGCATAGGAAATACTACAAAATCTGATTTCAGAACGAGGGCCCGGTTTCGTGTAGCCAGAAACACGACATTCTTCTTCAAAAATAGCACCGCTGTTTAATCGATTGCCCCTAAAAAAAAAACTGTTTTTGCAAAAAAATAAAGGAAGGTGAAAGCGAAGGAGCCAACAAAGATGACACATGGCCACGTCATCAGATTGCCCTTCAAACGTCTGACGAGCATCTCAGCGTTTGCAATCGCGCGGTCGAAAAGTATGACCTAGCCAGAAGGTCGTACTCATATTTCCACCATTTGGGAGATTAGTGGGTCATTGGATAGTGAATAGGGTTGTTGGATTTGGCACCGAGAACAGGAAAACCGAGAGCTCAGGAGATTTGCGCAAAAGATTATGCACATGTTTAAAGGAGATTAGACGATGGAGAGCCTGGAAGATTAGTAGATCCCGTTGAAAAGATAAGATGTTTATGAGAAACGGATTTTCCTGATGCCCCATTCACGCTCAACGGAACGAACATCACCGAATGCTCCAGCTACGTGTACCTAGGTCGGGAAATCAATATGATGAACGATCTAGCTCCAGAGCTGAGCAGGAGGAAACGAGCGGCTTGGGGAGCGTACAAGAACATCGAGGGAGTAGTGAAGAAGACGAAGAACATCCGGCTCCGTGCCCACCTCTTCGATTCCGCTGTCCTTCCTGCCCTAACCTACGCCTCAGAGACTTGGACTCTGCGCAGGCAGGACGAGCATGCGGTCAGGGGTGGGTACTTAGGACAGAACGCGACTTTTTCGCTCTTCGCAACGCGACATCGCGCGGCAGGCTGGCGCACCCGTAGCGAAAACAACTACGGTATATAAGAACGCGCGATTGGAGCGCGATATTTGTGTCGGCTTTGATTGCGACAAGGAGTTTGAAGCTTAATAGCCATGGATTTGATAATGAACGAGGAAATGGTAACCAGAAGTGGACCGCTAACTAGCAGTGAAGAGGGAGGTAGGTTATTTTTGCAGAGATGGATGGTAGAGCTTCTGGAGAACCTGGAAGAGGAATGGTTGATGGACGTTTGATGAGACGACTGTAAACTTCTGCATAGGGGTTATTTGGGGCCCTGATCATGAATATGACACTCATTTTTCACATTCGTGCTGTTTAACGCATACTTTCTGCTTTCTAAGCTTTCTCACCTACAGCGCCTACGACTAAGCTTAGGGGAGGGGAGTGAAACTCCGGAGTGGGTAAACCACGCACCGTGTGGCAAAAGTTGGAGTGTGTCAGACCACAGGGGAATGGCCTACCCACTTTGGAGCCCTACACTACTCAAAGGCTTAGTCCTATTGCGATCTAATTAGTGCGAGGGCGCAGACGAGCAGGAAGCAGGCGCCGAATAGCGCTAACAACAAATCAGGACCCCGAATAACCCCTATACAGAAGTTTACAGCGAATTTAGTGGGAATCAGTTGTGGCGCCACCCGGCCCCAAATGGCGCCAGCGTCAAAAATGAGTATCATATCCGTGATGAGGACAGAAGCGTTCCGTAAAAGATGTTATACCCTTATGCAGATGTCTATACAACAATATGAACCCACAAAATGCAAGCACAAGCGACACTATTAACCCTCGTTCACCGATAATTCGTAAAACACCATTTGTGGCATCGCCCGGAATCGTGTAAGTCACAAAACGTTTTCAATAATGAGACAGAATTAGTGATTCACCGCATTTATCAATACAATGGGTGTGAGCGCGGGCAAGTAAGGAATCAGAAACTTACAAATTCACGCATGCAAAAAAAGCTGCTCCAATCGCGCGTTCTTCCATACCGTAGTTGTTTTCGCTGCGGGTGCGCCAGCCTGCCGCGCGATGTCGCGTTGCGAAGAGCGAAAAAGTCGCGTTCTGTCCTAAGTACCCACACCCTGCGGTCAGCGTTATCCAACGCGCTGTCGAGAGGACGATGCTAGGAGTAACCCTATACACGCAAGTGCAGAGGGGAATCCGGAGTTCGGAACTACGCCAACGATCGAAGATCAGGGACGCTGCCGTTTTCGCCAAGGAATCGAAGATAAGGTGGGCCGGACACGTCATGCGATTTTGCGATGACCGTTGGACCAGAGCGGTTACCGACTGGATCCCTCGGGACGTCAAACGAACACCTGGACGACCGCCGGCCCGATGGTCAGACTTCTTCACGAAAGCTCTGAACGAAAGGAATGAACGGACTTCGTGTCCCTCGAGCGAGGAGGATCCACTGGACCACTCTAGCACGCGACAGGGACGAATGGAGACGTTGCTGGCGCCCGCTCGAGCAAATCGACGATCAACGGGACGACAGGTGATACAGGTGATACAGTGATGGGGAGTAGAATTAGGAAATCGACGTGTAGTACGGTTTATACCCTTACATCGAAGTCAAGGATTAGTTCTTCACTTCCTTTTTGAGAGGACAGCAGTTGCCATTCTTTCTCTCCTTCGGCTTTGATGAGTATTTCTGCATAAGACTTCTGAATTGTTATTTGTTGGCAAATACGATTTATTGAGCGCGTTTTCATTTGAAAAAAAGATTGTTCGCTTTCTGAATGCAGGTTTCTCATTTGATTCTTCTGCTATGGCTGCTGTTGAACCCATTGATATTACCCTGAAAAAGGTGAGTTATTTTCATTTCAGAGGATCATTACATGCGTTTTCCGAATTGTTCTTTACCGTGAATACTCAAGTGAATTTGAGTAGTGAGTTCTCTTTTGTAGGATGGTGGTGTTCTGAAAACAATCAAGAAAGAAGGAACCGGAACAGCGAAGCCAACTCCTGGAACTAACGTTAAGGTACTTTTTAGGCTGTGATGATACTTTCTACTTCTTTGCACTTTCGTTATGCCAATTCGAGTATGGAAACTTGCGGATTCATCCAATTACCAAACAATAACCTATTTACTCCACTATTGGAGTGCATCGAATAGAATAATCGCAAAGTATGACCGCACCCTTGGAAGAGCATTAAACAATATTTTGCCAAGAATACCGGTGTCATTGATGACCGGGTGGCGGTCAGGTGGACTGTCACTACAATAAAATCATCACCATATTAGGGTGCGACTATAGTTTGCGATTGCCTTGCATCTCCTTTGCAGTTCAAGTGTGGATTCGATTGTAGATTCTTGTCGATCATGCGATCGCAGGTGACGAGTAGAGAACGGGTGAATGCCCTAGACTAAGCCCTGGAAAGCAGAGGGACCTGCGAGAGATCGCAGAGGAGGTTTAAAGGGCTGAGTTCAAGTAGTCCGTCGACCATCGCAGGACTACGTTTGCTGTCACGGCCGCACAGTCGCGACGGCGAATTACAACCGCGACCGTAAGGCTGGTGTCAGAGTCCGCGATTTTTTGCGCGATTTTCGCGATTTTCGCGATTTGCGCGACGGTCACGGAAATCTCAAGTGCCTCATTCAATACTGCAAGGTGTTCTCTTCCACTTGCTTCATATTCAGTGTTTCAATTGTTCAAATGGGCCACTTGCAATTTTTGTGATCCGCGCGATCTCATGGTCATCCTCATGGTCAGTTCAGAATAGATGCAGTTCCGTCCCTGAACGAATGAGCATTTCAATGAATAATAGACATAACATTAAACGAGTAGAATCACGGGCAGTCTTCCTTCAATTTCCAGGATTAAACAGCACCTCGCAGTATTCATCGGGGCACCTCCAACTCCTGTGACCCATCGCAGGTTTCGCAAAAATCGCGCAAATCGCGCAAAAATCGCGACTCTGACACCAGCCGTACTTTTCCACGCTAACTGATCGCTGCAATCGCGATTCTAAGTATGACACGTACCACACTAATTAACAAGTTGAAGTGCAACTGTGACAGCCCGTTGCAAATGTGCGAATAGTGACAGCAAACGCGGAGCCTTACACCTACTTTACTCGACGATCGTTGCGTACAGGCTAGTCCAAAGAAAGTTAGATGATCCGTGCTCTGTTCCTTGATATTTGCGCATCTAAAGCATCACACTCCGGTCGCTGCGACTGGGCACGTTGCGATTGCAATCGCGAAGTCTGACAATCACCTGGGAACGCGATGGTGTGTCCAAACCATGGCTGGGTTTTCGCGTTTGCAAAGTTCTTCTGCAAGGTATGTGTCGTTATAGGTGCATTATGTGGGAACGCTGGAGAGTGGTGAAAAATTCGACTCGAGTCGTGACAGAGGCAGCGAATTCGAATTTTTGTTGGGTCGCGAGCAGGTATCTATCCATTTGTGTTTTTTTTTTGGCTTTTTTTTGAAATCTTATTCAGTGTACTTTAGGTCATTAAAGGCTGGGATATCGGCGTGGCTACAATGAAGAAAGGAGAAATAGCGGACTTCAGGATTCGGTCCGACTATGGATATGGGGAAAGTGGAAGTATGCCGAAAATCCCGCCAAACGCTACCTTGAATTTTGAGGTACCCTTACTTAAATGTCATTTAAGTAAGTGGCCTGGTGCAAATAGTTTTTAACGTAAAATACAAACTGCAGGTGGAACTCGTTGATTGGCAAGCCGAAGACATTTCGCCAAATCGTGATGGAACAATCACCCGTTCAGTTATTGTCGAAGGAGAAAAATTGGCAAATCCGAATGAAACAAGTCCTGTCGAAGGTATGCTATGCCTTCCCACCTCGATCACGGCATTATGAATCAAACTTTCGTTTGACTTGAAGGATAGGCCAGTGGAACTTGCACGCGTGTCGTGAAGATTCTTCGTGGCTTCGCATCACGTCTTCCCCCTCCCCCCCCCCCCTTTGATGGTTGTGAAGCATTGTAAGTAGTGGGAAAATCTTGCCACGCTTTACCTCACAGGTGCGCATAGAGTTCCATGTAGGATCTAGTAGTGGTGACTGGCGCGGCGGATTGTTATGTACCCATCGGCACTTGATACGTCAGTGTGAAATGTTGCTTTTACGGGTTTGACTGTCCAACTGAATGAGCCGGAGACAGGACCAGCGATTCTTTCATCGTCACTCAAACTGGCCAACACTTGAGCCGAAGGAGAAGCAGAAATGGATATTGAACTAGAAAAGACAAGTGTTTTCGAACCTGGAAAATGGCTCGGACATGCGTTAAGATAACTGGTTCAAATGTAATAAGTTTTTGTTTTCAGTTCATGCGGTTGGCTCATATGAAGGGCGAGTATTCTACGACAAAGAGGTCACATTTATTTTGGGAGAAGGTTCAGAGGTAACAAATACTTGTTCTTCCTTGCGTTTGTTCTAAATTCATGTACCATTTTATGAATGGATTGATGGATTCGAGAGAATGGCATATTATTAAGGGAGATGTAGTTGAGGGATTGGAGATTTCGTTGTGAATTAAGAACAATGCCTTCTAGCGTGGTACCTACGACAACCATCGAAATATGATAGTTGTCGGTTATGGATGGAATGGTTCACTAGTTGTTTCCTTCCGTTGAGAGCAAAAATTACAACTTTTTGTTTTATCAGTCAAAACTTTCAGTTTTTGTAGGTGGGACTTCCTGAAGGTGTTGATCGAGCATTGCGCCGTTTTTGCCGGGGAGAGAAATCTACAATTCGTTTAAGCGGAACCAGGTATGGTATGAGTCTTCTGAAGTGACTAAACAGTGCTTTCAGTTTAACTTGATTCATTTGCTTTTTACAGATTCACATACGGGCCGAATCCTCCTCCAGAATACAATTTACCTCCAAATGCAACTATTGAATTCACTATTTTCCTGAAAAGTTACGAGAAGGTATTTTCTTGAACCTGTCCAGCTTTTTCGTTTCAGTTCCACATTCTGCGTTCAGGTGCCTGCCCTTTGGGAAATGTCAGCGGAAAAGAAAATCGAAGAGGCTACTCTAGCGAAGGAACGTGGTACAGCTTTCTTGAAGCAAAACAAGCTCAAATTGGCTTATAATAAGTACAAGCGAATCGAAGATATTTTGGAATTTGAGAAGAGCATGGATCCTGATCAAAAGAAGGTATATTTTCGACGTGTGCTAGTACCCAAGTATGTAAGCCTTTTGGTTGGCCTACTTCTTGGCAGTCTTCTCTGGCCTTTTTCGAGGTGCTGAGTGGGTTGGGGGGACCACGCGGCGACGCGGCACTTCGCTCGCCTGGCATTCGGGAAATCCGTGAGCCAGGGGGAGTGTAGGGGGGTGGGGGCAGTCACTTGACATGCGTGAAAAGCTGGAATGTTCGAGTTTACACTGTCTCGCTCGAGAGAGCCCAGGTGAGCAGACTGCCGCGCCGCCGCGTGGCCCCCCCCCAACTAAGTTAGCACCTTTTTTAATCTAAAACTAAAGCTGCGCTGTGCCACCGTGAGAGCGCGCTTGCTGACAGATGGGTGTTTCAACGTAAATTCCCCTCCAAGTTGTGCCAAAATTTATATTATTGCTTTGTGAGCTGAACTATTCAATATATCCTTACGATTTGAGTCAAATAGGGGTAATGACGAATGTGGGTTTGGTCACTAAACAATAGGCTTCATTTTACAGCTAAGCTAACTTTGCTGATGTTTTCATTGTATATTCATATGTATAGTGTATTTGAGCCCAATTTCTCTCACAGGTGTGCTTACTAAGGTTTTAATCAAAGAGCAAGGGATTCGCATGATATGGGAAACACGTTGTCGTTGAATTTCTCCATGCTCACGTTGGGTAGCTTCTTTTTTCTTGTGAGTTTCCATTCACTGCATTTCAGAGTCGCGACGATCTGATGCTTGCCGCATACTTGAATCTTGCACTGACAGCATCAAAAATGGGTGAAAATTTGGACTGCATCAAATATTGTGATAAAGTAAGTTCATTTATCATAGCTCGGCATTTTCTGATATGAGTCTATGTTTTGAGGCCCTTGAGCTCTCACCCATCAACGTGAAAGCCCTTTATCGTAAAGCTGGAGCGCGAGCGGCTCTCTCAGACTTCGACGAGGCAAAACAGATATATGAGAAAATATTGGAAGTTGATCCCGAAAACAAAGTAAGCTTTATTCGTCTTTCGTAATGTCTTTATGAGTTTCTATTCCTTCATTATTTCAACAAAGTGGTCTTGCAGGCAGCAGCTCAGCAGATCCTCGTCGTTCGTCAAATGATGAAGGAACAGCTAGAGCGTGACAAGAAGCGATACAAAAACCTTTTCTCGAAAATTTCTGATGATTCGAAGGTATGATTCCAGGAAATGTTACCTCTTCTCAAATTTCCGAAAGGCACGCTATACGAGTGTCCAAGTAGATTTGTTCCTTCCGTGAGTACATTAGTGTTGTCCACAAAGATCTGAGGTGTATCGTTATTGTAATTCGGCATTGCTTTATGGAGGCTTTGTGAAGTGTCATTGATACAGCAAGCTTAAATTACTTTGGCGATGCCGCGATCCAGTGAGTGGGGTGTCTGCGTCTCGCTTGTGCCCCATGCTCTGCGGGCTTTTTGCTCTGGCACAAGTCCACCTCTTCTTTAATTTTCAGGCGTCATAAACTCATCTAGGTGGCCGTGGGACCTGCTTATAAGGGCTTTGTCCAGATTGAATTGGATTCACTGGTCTCTCATTATTTACAGGCCGAGAAGCAAAGCCCGTTTGAAGAAAAGAAGGCGGAAACGGCAACTGTTGATTCGTGAATTTAGAAAAAAGCTGTTGTTTTGATGGATTTCGTTGATCTTGACTTTCATATTACTTATGGTTAGGTTTTTGTCTTTGTTGTTTGGTAATATTATCAGTAACTGTGGTAGTCGCTGATGCGTAATGATCTTTGAGGAGCGATTGCAAGTGTACTAGTGACTCGTTTCCCGATTGTTTCCCGGCTGAATGATCTTGTTGTGTAATTTAATGGTTTGTTTTTGTTCCTATTATATTTAAAAAGAAAATTATATAAAGATATGGTAAATTGTGTATCAAAGCAACAAAAGGTAATCTTAGTATTGTCTTCGTACACAACGTTTATTGGAGTTCCGCAGAAATTCCTCAGAGCCACATAAGGAGTGCTAAGGTTACAGATCAGGGGAACCCGGACTCCTGGATAGGTGTGAGTGAGGCTGAGGCTTATCTCCATGTATCAGTTACTACACGGACGGAACCCGGGCTCGCCGAAACATCATGTCCAACTGAGCCAAATAAACGTAGCAAGAAAGGCCGGCCTCCCGGTCTTGCCATTTACTTTCGCCCAGTTATCGGGGGATAAAATATTGAATCGCATCAATGGGGAGTCGATAAAAAAGTTACTATGGAGGGTGAAAAAATTCTGTAAAGCGCTAGACGGCGTGCTAATGTTCCCGGACGACGGTTGTTGCGGTATACAGTTGGGCTCAATGTATAAGTCTTTTAGCATGAGGTGGTAGGCTACTCCAAGCGAGCAATTTCCTTAGCAGGTCCGAGGGTTGCCGGAGAACGGGGGCCATACTAGTCGAGAAGCGGCCGGCCCACTCCCTCCCCCCCGCCGCCCGCCGTCGCTAGGACGATGACTTGATGCCCAGGTGGGCGGGAGCAAAAGGATGAACTCGCGCTGTCTACAGGTGCGTAGACGCGGTCACGTCCGCTCTAGCCGTTTAGCGTTAGTGTTGAAGAGGGCCAGCGCTTATGAGAGTGTGCATTGAGCCGGAAATCTATAAGGATATGATCGCGTTCAATTTGTGAGTCCTCGCGGAGCCACGGCCCGGGTCCCGGCGCGGGTGGGCGGGGGGGTGCCGGGTGGCGCCCGGTCGGGCAAGGAGGCGGGCCGCGCGGCCGCCAGTCGAGTGGGCGCCGCTCCGCGCTTGCGCGCCCGCCCTGTGTTGTGGTGGCGTGGGGGGGGTGGGGCCCGGGTTGGGGCCGTTCTGTTGCTGTGGGGGGGAGGGTGGGGGGGGGGTGGTGGGGTTGGCGCGGGAGTGGTGTGGTTGGGGCGCTGTGGGTGGTGGTCCCCGGCGCCGCCCGCGGCGTTTTTTGGCTAGTTCCTCATCTCTGCACGCACTCTCGACACGGCTTTCAAAGCTCGCCTTCGAAAGCGGGCATCCAGTGAAAGGCCCAACCATCGCATAGGGGTGAGCAAATCCGACTTCTGCATTTAAAATAGATTATGGAACATGTTCGCCTCATTTCTTGTAGCCAGGCACACACTACAATGCTGTTGGGAATGTAGGAAAAGTGGAGCGCCCAGTCGGTTTGGTTACATAGAAACAGCTGCCGGAGCTGCGCATTCGTCTGCCCTGCTGAACAACCGACAAGGACGTTTTTCATCATTATGACGCAGCCCTTGCGCTGGTTGCATGGGCCAGGTGCTCGCCCCCGTTCGCGCTGGGCTCTTCAACTGCTCAGATCAACGGAACGTGAATAGGCGCTTACGGCATGGGAAGCATTTGCAGTCACAAAGCACTAGCCATTTGCATCAGTCTTTCAGACTCACATCAGTTTACAACTCTATAATGACGAAATCGCGAGTCCACACCGTGGCGCCTTGACGGGGAACAATTTGGCTAGGAAGGTTAATATACAGTTCTCTGCTCCAGCCATTTTCCTCTGGCAACCTTGTTGGGAGAATTTTTCGATCGCTTTAACCGTACCGCCTTGTACGCAAAATATTCCGCTTAGGAATTGTGGGGGTACTGTGAAAGGGAGAGCATTGCACAATATCAGAGCTTTTAGAGCTGCGTTTACAAATGTTCATTGCGAGTAAGCCTTGCGTCCGGAGCGCTGGTGCGGTTTCGCGGCGATTTTCGGGGTATTTTTTCTTCAACGTCAGAAAATCGGAAGGATTGAGACCTTTTGAGGGTTCAATGCTTAGCCTACTGAAGCACACAAACCAGTAATCAAAAGCCATCATCGCCGCCGAAAAGTCCGGAAAACTTGGAACGTTGATTGGAAGAAATATATTTCAGGCCAAGCAATCTTGTTGCCACACAGCAGTTCGAACTGCTTGTTCCTGTCCTAGCGCCAGACCGGCACAGTTTCTACCAGGGCGTTCTTCGGCGTGATGCTCGGCTGGTCAGTGAGGTTCCGGTTTCTTTGATGACGTCTCTCCAACTTGTTGAAGAGTGCCTCGGCGGGCAGTCCCGGTTGATTGAAGTCCATCGCGGTTTCTTATAGCATGGTGGGAAGGCCCTCCTTATCCTTGTCCATTCATCCCAGACGTTGTAGCCGTCTATTCTAGCATCGACAACAGAGCTGCTCTGCATTACTGCCTTGACGTCTGCGCCTTTCTGAGCACCGCAGGCCCAATGATCAGCATCCTCATTTCAGTTTAGTGAAGCTGGCTTTCCTGATACTTGTTTAAGCACTCGCTACTGTAAGGCATTGCAGACCTCCCCTATGTTCAGTAGATGTTTCCTTTGAGTGTTCTGGAGCACCCCTGACCGCAGAGGATCCCAGTGAACTCCTTCCTGTTGATCCACGTGTGCCCTCATTGCTTGATCCACACGTGCCTTCACTGCTTGATCCACACTTCCGTCAGCGGCTAGGTTGCTCAGAAAGTATCTAAATTCCTTCACTCCTTCTACGCTTTACAGTGTCCGTCCACGATCGTCACAGTACGATTTTCAGACCTCTTCTTTCCCACTATGTGGCCATTTAGATCACCTTCTATGCTTAGGTAACCACCTTTCAGAGTCCATCCGATGGTATCTTCAAAGCGCAGATAGAACTTTTTTTGTCACTTCAAAACAGCCGGATTGCGATGCGTAAACGGAGAGTCCTGTTCAGTAGCCCTCATATACCTATCCTCACAGCAGGACTTTGTTCTTGCCAGGGCAGTGATCGAATCCGCGGCTCTCAGAGGTGCAAGTATAAGCCTTCACTAAACCACTTGAATACCCCTGCCCAAAATAGTTTGTAAAGACGACGATTATGGTCCGTGCTTTTGACTTCTACCTACCAAACACCCACTTTCGTTAAGAGGAAATAGGGAGTGTAGGAACTCCGTCAATTATTTTGAATATTTCAAATTTTTCTGTTAGGCGACCCCTATGTTTGACCCGATGACCATGTGGTCCCGAAATTCACCTATCGATGATTTGAAATGATATTATCAGGAGAGATTGTGGGGTTACCGCGGCAATAGTGAGAGCGTGCCCCGATTTCTCTACGGAAACGAGAAATGGGTGACGGTCCACCACGACGCTAATGCGCTGGAATGCTGGAACGGTCCACGCGGTACCGGGGCTGACGTATATGAACTGCCGACAGGAAAACAGCCTGTGACGTAGAATTTGGGTCCATTTAAGTTGTGTAGAGAACAGATCACGATGAGCTCTTGGTAGAAAGAAAGCTAGTTCGAGAAAGCTGAGGGCAAAAATGTCTTTCTTTTTCCTCTGAAAGTCTCCTTACAGACCTAGTGATAGTCCTGATCACCACTATATTCACTTTGGGACGGGGACTACCTGACCTTTTGGAAGTTTCAGCGAAGCAATTCATAGCGCTACTAAGGTTAAATACGTTGGCCTACAGGGGTATGAAAATGAAAAAATGGTATTGAAAAAAAGACCTTCAAAACTAGCCTGATTTCGTGTGCTGTAATAGGAAGGACGCCTTACACAAGAATGGAATCCTTTCTGTGTCTGAACTTTTGCGTCATGAAGGCGACGTCCCCGAATCGCGAGCGCCTCGATATGGCGAGAGTTAAACGGGGCGCTCTGTGTCGGTCAACCTAGATCGTGTTGACGATAGCCGGCGATAGCCATCATCAACCCATCGGTGCCCCCGGACCGATCCATTCAATGACTGCTGGAGAAGACTGTTCCTGCTGCTGCTACCTGTCACCTGCTACTTGCCACTACCGTTTCCAGCTTCATCTAGTCGCATTTATAAACGAAGCGGTTGAATTGTTGGAGCGTGACGCTCATCAATTACACCAGCTTCTTAAACTCGTTACGTCGCATCGCACCATTACTGCCCATTGAGAAGAACTGCCCTTTCACTTTCTGTACTGTCACACGCCGCACTCTCGTAACCGGACTTTTCTCCTCGTACACCTATGCGTCATTCCTTCTTCGGTGGTCACCATCCAGCGCCTAAACGAGCTTAGGCTATTTTTCGTTCATCAGTCATGATTTTAGCGGAGATGATGCTCTGGAGGTGATCTGGCCAAGACCTCCGTAATGACCGATTCTTCGGGCCATATATGGGACTATTTCGTTATTATAACCGCAGTGGGGCGGAAATGTTTCAGCCAAACCTTCTGAGGGACATATTGGCCCACATCATAAGCATTATAGGGATAAACGAGGCTATTAATCGTTAATGGATAAACATTATAGGAATAAGGATGAAGCATTTGACGTTCATCTGCCCTTTGTGAGCGCCATGCATTCCACTCCCATTCAGATTCATAGTGGCACCTGAATGCAATTTTGCCCACACAATAAATTGAGAGGGTGGTAGAAGTATAAGTCCCTTCTTTAAGTACACTGGTGTGCAAAACTTAAGGACGGGAGATGAAAGTAGCTGACCCATTGGATAAACTTCGGAGGACCGTTTGCAGGTTGCCTGTGAATTGCTTTCTACTGCACGTGGTAAGCAGCTCTTCTTATGTATAGGTTAGAGTTCCACAGCAGTCCATCATACTCAGCCGAGTAACGACGGGTCGATGAAAAAAATTTACGTTCGTCCTCTAGGTTCTGCACCACAGTGTACTTCTGTTCTCCCGAATAAAGAC